GCGTAGAAATCGCCACAATTACGCAAAGTCTACTATTAATGGTATCCTATTCCGAAAAGAAAAGAAAATCAAATCCTTAAATTAGTGGACTCATCTTGATATCCTTAAAAGGTTCTTAATGCCGTGGATTTCCAAGTTCTTGCGCTGTTTTAGCCCGAAGACGAACGTAGTTATTGGTTCGGATCAAAGCGGGTTTTGTTGTTGGTTTCTGCGGAGTGACTTTCTTTGCCCGCGGCCTCGAAAAATTGAACTGGATCTCGACGATGGGCCTCAAAACTGACCGCGAAGAGTAACAGTGAAATTGATTAATTGGACGAGAAAATCGCGTCGCTTTTCTAATTAAACGACTCGTATAGGCCTAGAAAACGAGGGTAATATTTCGTTTTTGTCGCTTTCACTGTGTCGTGTTTTAAAATTTTAAAGAAATTTCGTAAATAAAAATTGAACTTTTCACAACAGGTGAGAACTTTGTTCCGGGAGAACAATAACGTCTCATGAATGGCCAAGATATCTCCCATCGTGTCTTCATAACGTCGCCGTTCTGAGGAGATACATCTTCATTACGACGTCTGACGGCAAAACTTAGCAGCTGTCGCATTTGTCGGCTCCTTTTCTTACACAAAGACGATGATAATCGTCTTCGCGCTGTTTTCCCGAGAATATTACCACTTTTACTTCGGTACATGTCCCATAAACCACTTTGCCAATCTTCAAACGAGATCTCAAAAACACGAAATTTTCTTTCTTCTTCCTTCTTTATTCTTTAAGGTTTAAACTTAGGCGTTAGGATTCGATAAGGATCCGTTGTGGGAACAACCCGAGCTCGTACATCAGCAATTAAAGAGCCGGAGACTTTTTTCAACCCGAGCGGCCACTAACAATATCGTAAAGAAGGAGTGATGGCCGCCTCGGAAGCTGCGCTCGAACGATCCTCCGGGTTCGTTACATTTTTCTTCGGGGAAAAACGGCTGATTATGAATCTGGATTGCGTTTCCTCGTTCGATCCGATTTACGACGAGCTCCTTTAAAGGCGGACATGTCAATTAAGTGGCGTTTGTAGTGAATTGCTTCAGCAAAAACTTCTGGGAGACGTCTTGTGGAATGTCGTGATGCGTTCCATAGGAGGAGGAAAATTAATTTTCATGGTACTACTATGAAATTTTTATATTTATTATCCTTCTAAAGACATTTCTTCATAGACTCTCCGATACTTTATTTGTTGTGAGTTACCGTTTCGAAATAAAAACCAATTTAAATAATTGAAATATCAAGACGATTTTATTTAAACATTTTATAGCGAATTTAACGCAGTTTTAACACACCGAAAATATTTTCTTCGTTTCTATATATTCCGATGATACGATTTTTTTTAATTGAATTCTGTGGTTATTGGGGTTAAGTTAATAAAAATGTATTTTACAACGTCGTATCTCAAGAACGAATTGAGATATCGCGATGAAATTAAAACCATTTTAAAGCACGTTTAATTAATATTGAGTGAGATAAAAATCATTTCATTATTCCTATAAATTTTGATGCTACGATTTTTTAAAAACATCTCTTATGATAAGATTATTTTAGTAACGTCAATTTAAAAAAAATCATATCTCAATAAATAATTGAGATATCAAGATGATGTAATAACCGTTTTGTAGCAAATTTAATCTAGTCTCAATACCCCAAAAATATTTCCTTCGTTTCTATAAATCCCGATGATACGATTTTTTTAGCTCAACTCTGCGGATATTGAGGTTGATTTGATAAAAATGAAATTTGCAACATCGTATCTCAAAAACGAATTGAGATATCATCATGTAATAAGAAGCATTTTAAAGCTTATTTAACTAATATTTAATGAGATAAGTATCATTTCTTTAATCCCATAAATTTTGGTGTTATGATTTTTTTTTGGTACATCTCTCCAAATCCTTTATGATAAGTTAATTTATAAACACCAATTTAAAAACAATCATATCTCAAAAAATAATTGAGATATCACGATGATTTAATAACCATTTTATAGCAAATTTAATCTAGTCTCAATACCACAAAAATATTTCCTTCGATTCTATAAATCCCGATAATACGATTTTTTTAGCTCAACTCTGCAGATATTGAGGTTGAGTTGATAAAAATGAAATTTGCAACATCGTATCTCAAGAACGGATCAAGATATCATCATGAAATAAGAAGCATTTTAAAGGTTATTTAACTAATATTTAATTAAAATTACTTCTTTATTCCTATAAACTTTGGTGATATGATTCTTTTAATACGATCATTTACTTGATATGCAACCGCAATAATTATTTGTAAAACTATTTTAGATCGATTAGATTTTTAATTTTCTACAATTTGATACCAAACACGACATACTTCAGATTCAATGTTATTATTACCTTTTTACGGCATATTTTGATTTATTATTACCGCTATAAATCGATAGGATTTCAAGTTTCCTCTAATTTGTTTCCAAACTCAATGCATTTTTGGTAAAAAATGTAATAATTTTTAAATGAAATTTAATTTTACATTGATAGAAATTAGCTTTATTCTTATTGGGGTTATTATTATTATTACCATTTTGAATCATCATTTATTATTACCGGAATAAATTGAGAGAATTCATTTAATTTGATTCCGAACTTGATTTTTTAGTAATAAGAAACATAAAAGTTATATCAAAAAAAAAGTAATGGTAATAATCCGCCATGTTTGATAATAATTAGATTAAAAATTGAAATATCTCAATAAATAGGCCGTATAGAAATGTTGAGTTTGGACCCGTTTTAAAGAAAATTCAATTTTATATCGATTTAGATTAATGTTATTCTTACTCGCATTATTATTATTATTATTATCTTTTTGAAAATCATAATTTATTACTTGTTATTTATTACTTTTACTACTACTACTACGAATTTCTTTAAAAAAAACTTATTGTGAAGAAATGATGGTAATAATCCGCCATCTTTGATAATAATTAGATTAAAAAATGAGATATCTCGATAATGAAATGAGATAGATCTATCGAGTTTGTACTCTTTTTAAAGGAAATTTAATGTTGCATCGATTTAGATTAATGTTATTCTTACTCGGATTATTATTATTATTATCTTTTTGAAAATCATAATTTATTACTTATTATAGATTTAACTCGATAAAATCTCAAATTTGTAATAAAACGAATTTCTATTAAAAAAAACTTATTGTGAAGAAATGTTGGTAATAATCCGCCATCTTTGATAATAATTAGATTAAAAAATGAGATATCTCGATAATGAAATGAGATAGATCTATCGAGTTTGTACTCTTTTTAAAGGAAATTTAATGTTGCATCGATTAAAAGTATTTAAAGTTTATTATAAGATGTTTGAGATGAATGAATAAATTAAAAAGCGTGACGTAATAAAAAAATTGGTTGTCTTCCGCTTCCATATACAACGCGGAATCCGCGCTGGTATCGGCGTACACATCTGAGTCCTAACGGGTCCACGGATGATTTGTCCATCTGTCGTGGTCACGACCGGACCCCCGCTAGTAGCAACAGCAGCACTCGGGCTTTGCTGGGCGTGGGCCCCACCGGTAGGTCTTTGCGGACACTTCCGCGTGTTACACATCCAGCCATCGGCCGATAGCGAGGCGTAACGGGCCCCGGCCATTTCCCGTTCCAGAGAGGCGAAAAATTCTCTTTCTGCGCGCACGTACCACTAGGGGCAAATTGTGCAGGCGGCGAACCGACACGCTTCCAAATAGTTACGTGTAGCCGCAACCGCCTCGCAATCGCCTCCGATTCAAATGCCACGATGAACCGAAGAAAATATTTGATTTCTTGCGGTTGAATAACATCGAAAAAGAAAGATCAAGTCTAAATTAAATCTTAACGAGATATCGAAACGTGAACGAAGTTACGCCCTCGGCGGCGCGGCGTCATCTCGTCGTAGTTTCAATTAAAATAATGGCGACTTGAAACAATCCAAGCGTCACCGCTTCATTAATCCGCGACGCCGAAGGTAATGATAGAACCGCTTGATATTGAGGCTCATTTAGATAACTTTTTTTTTCTTGTCTTTTTGTTTGTTGTTGCAACTGAGAGACGAATTAATAAATAAACTATTAGGTGTCCGCCGACGACGGTCTATGTAATTCGATGATTTGTCAGACATGATTGATGGTGCGAGGACGGAACGTTCGACCGGGTGTCGAGTGTCTCTCCTTTCTCTCCGGCGCTCCGCTAGTAATGATAGTGATGCTAATAGTAATGATAGGTGTGCTTGTTTCCTAAGCACGTCTGTCCGATTAATTGCTATATCAATCTGTTGATTGGGTAAATGCATTCCTCTATTTAACTAAGTTTTAACTCTTTAGCGTCGATTTTTGATTATTTTTAATTAATTCCATTGAATTGAAGTACTACTATTTTAGAACGTAGTACATTCGCTCTCGATTCCTGGTTGCGATCGATAGCGTACGTCAAGATTAACGGCGACCGCGCCACTGTCGCTCGCAAATCTGGCTAATGGTCAGCAGCATCCGCGTGCCAGGAGAAAGTGCTGTCCGTTTTCAGTCGAACCCGTAACTCAACCCGCCAGATCCAGCAGATCCAGGCCCCTCTAACAATGAGAAAGCCGTGTCCCGACTAAAACGGACTCTTTAATTAAAACCTTCAATTCAATTTTAATAAAACTATGTTAAAACAATCATATCTCAAAAAATAATTCAGATATCAAGATGGTTTAATAACCACTGTATAGCAAATTTAATCTAGTATAAATCCACAAAAAATATTTCATTCGTTTCTATAAATCCCGATGATACGATTTTTTTACCTCAACTCTGCGGGTATTGAGGTTAAATTGATAAAAATGAAATCATATCTCAAGAACGGATTGAGATATGATCATGAAATAAGAAGCATTAAATTGAATCAAAAATTATTTCTTTAATCCTATAAAGTTGGGTGTTACAATTTTTTTTAATAAAACTTTTTTTCTTTTCAGGATTTTTCTTCAATTCTAATGAGCGTAGTCGATTCGGGGCTTCCCTGGCTCCGCTACCTACCACCTCTGCCCTTACTACCTCTAACAATGCGAGAAAAGGATAGTTCTCCAAGAAAAATGCTCGTGGGAGGATCAAGTTCCCCAAAACAAGCCGCCGTTTACCCCTTAGTGGTTCGACCACCAAGCGATGACCTCCCCTTCGATTTATCAAGAAACACCCGATCCCCAGGACCCCACATGTCCCCAGCCGGACGCCCACCGTGTCCTCAAGACTCATTAGACGACCAACCTTTAGATTTAAGGGTGGACCACAAAAAATCAACGGCGGGGAATTCAAATTCGACGAGGAGGCACCACGTTGAAGATGAAAATAGAAATTTGATTTCGCCAAGTGAGAGTTTCGACGAAGGGGGAGGGAGCGAAATGGAAAAGGAAGTCGAAAGGGAAGAAGAAAGTGCTAGTCCAATTAACAACAATAACAATTCGATCGGGGCGAAATTTAATCAACAGGTTATCTCGGATTATCCCTCGGTGTTGTTCCCCACCCAACCGATTCCCCATTTCGTCTTGGAGGCAATGTACAAAGCTCAAAAAGATAAAATCCCGCGATTACCCTTCCCTTACACTTCGCCGAATTTCCCGCAAAGATACCCCCCGTTTTGGAGTCCTAACCCCCAAGTAACCCCGTTCGAAATCCGCCCAAATCCGACACAACAAACGAAATTTCCCGATTCGGGGGTCGCTGGGGGGAAAATCAAGGATCGGTACGCTTGCAAATTTTGTGGGAAAGTTTTCCCGAGGAGTGCTAATTTAACGCGCCACTTAAGAACGCACACCGGGGAACAACCGTATAAATGTAGATATTGCGAGAGATCTTTTAGCATCTCAAGTAACTTACAAAGACACGTAAGGAACATTCATAACAAAGAAAAACCGTTTAAGTGTCCACTTTGCGAGAGATGTTTCGGGCAACAAACTAATTTAGATCGTCACCTTAAAAAGCACGAAGCGGATGGGCCAACAATCTTAGACGAGCGCACCCTTCAAAGAAGAAACAACAACACCAACAACATCAACAGGAATCTTTCGGAGGAATCTTATTTCGAAGAGATTAGATCGTTTATGGGTAAAGTCACCGATGGGAGGCTTTTACAACATTTACAGCCCAACAAAAATTTGGGATTAAACCAAAGTTTTCAAATCCCGCAGAATTTCCCGCAACTCTACGATAACAAATTACAAAGTCCCGAATCGTCGAAGGAACAATCTAATTTAATAATTAAAAGAGATTCTTCGAACACTTCTTATTATTCGGATAAAGATAATTTTTCGTCGAGCTCATCAACAACGTCGGAAACTTCCACGCCTAAAGACGAAGATATCGATAAAGATGGGAAAGAGGATGATAACGAGGATAAAGAAGATGATAATCCCAATAATAATAATAACAATAATAATAATACATGATTTAATAAGATTTATAATGAAGGAATGAATTAAGAAAAGTAAGGATACTATACTTTTGTGATAAATCGAGTTGTTGGAGAAAACGTGTGGTACAAATCGGATGTAGGCTAAAATTAAGTATACGCTCAATTTTCTTCTCTAACTTAAAAATTACTTAAAAAAAATTTAAAAGGGTGTTTGTTATAAATTAATACGATTTTTTTGGCATAATTGACCGCGTTTTGTTTAATTTTATTGCGTCTGCACGAGGTGGAAAGTGGAGCCGATTAAAAACCGGTATCATCGTCGTCGGTGATGTACTCAACTCGTCCTTTCAAGAGAAAAAAAAACGACCACGCCCTAGTTTCGTACGAAGGAAAGGAAAAACTTTCACTTAATACAAAAATTACCCCGAAAAAATCTCCATAAAAAAATCTTTGTTCTAATTCGCCTTGACTGACTCACTCAGAACTGAGAACTCGCAACAATCAAGGTTGTATCCTTGAGCGGAAGTTGACAAAAAGAGTTAAACTTTTAGATCGGGATGACATTTATGCGTCGCGTAATGATCTAGTTCACCTCATCTAAACGAAACGAAAAGATCTCAAAGGCTGAAGCAAACGCGAATCAATTGGGTCAATATAGTGAAATAAAACGGTTTCTTTTGAATTTTTAATAATCCTTCTCGGCCCAGCCCTAACTCCGATACATCTCGAGAGGACGTTATATCACCTCTCTTCGATACCTGATACCCGATACGATACGATTCTCGAACCACACAAGGTTGCGGCTACACGATATTATTCCAGATGCAAAAGGTGTGGCTCTCTACGTAACAATTTTTTTTTTAACTCGTTGAACATCGCAGATGCGTTCGCGATTGTGTTAGAAAACGAACGAGATCTCGCGGCGTCTCGGACGTTCTCAGAATTCGACTTTCTATATCAATTTTCCGTTATTTCTTCTTCTCCCGACATGTGGAAACGAACTTTTCTTATTGCGGAATGCAAAACAGAGAAAGTCGATTATTTATATGATTCACTTAAAAAATGATAATAACAACAAAGTGATCATACGCAAGAAGTTCTCGTAGACTACCATTTGCGGATTACAGTTAGGTCGTTACGTTGGCGAAGGTGTGGCCCTCGGACGGTCGAAAAACTGCAAACACCTCGGGCTCAGCGGAGAAGAACGGAAATCTCGTGTGCCGAAGGGCACCGAGGCCTTCGGACGCCAGGAAGCTGCGCGTTCGAAATGAACCGGTATCACGTTAGATATATCATTTACGGTATATCGTTTTTGCGTTCTCTCCCAAACTACTCCCTAACCACCGAGTTATACTTCTTCAACCGACTCACTTTTATTTTATTTTTCCCCCGGACGAGATGTTCTAATTAATTCCGAGAGCCGGACTAGTTCTTGCGGTTACACACTAGATCACTTCAAAGACCTGGGAACCACCGGTTGCGAACGTTCACAATGATAATTGACGTCTTCGTCGTCGTCCTCATCATCTCCTTAAGAAGATATAAAACCAATTTGAATCGTAATATCTAATTTATTATTTATTTTGAATATAACCGTTCTACTAATCGTATTAACTCCTAAAAATCATGGTTTAACATGTCGCTAATCAAGCCTTAATTATTCATTACGATTTTAATTTAATTCAATTCAACTCCTTATTCTAATTCAATATGTAAATCGTTATAAAGGAACCTAATCAAAGCTTAATTTCGCCTTAATCAAGCATTTTGAAATATGGCTCATTTGAACTAAAAAATTAACTAAGTTAATCGAAGCTTAACATGGCGCTAATCAAGCACTTTCTTTAAAGCCCGGTTAATTTAATTGCTTGTTAATATCACGCATTATCACATCGATAAACGTTTATAAAATCGATCTTTACGTATCTAACTCTAACTTGATACATAAAGTTTTTAAAATCGTTATTAACAAGATTAATCAAGGTTTAACTTGGAGTTAATTAAGAATTTTCAATTTTTCTCGATTAACACATTAAATTCAAGTTGTGTTTACTTAATTTAACCTTGATTATTAATACAAAACGGCTACAAAAAGCATAAAAAAAATTTAACCGAGAGTAATAAAATTGGATTTAAATCAGACTAAATTAGAAAATATTTAATACGATGCGATTCTTTTGATGAGTTTTATCTTCAGTGTCTGAGTCACTGTACACTATTATATTCAGTGTAGATAGGAAATAGCGCGCGCAAGAGCACATATGTATGCACAATGTTAGATGTGCAGTATTTACCTTTACTTCGATCAACAAATTGCAAGCCAAAGCGTGTCAATGTGCAACATTATATTTGATTTGAAGAACAAGTTGCCTAGATGTATAGATACTGTTAGGAATCGACTGTGCTTGTTAGGAGTCCACTGTTAGGAGTCCACTAAGCTTCATTTTGAGTAATAAATTACGCACGTTTCAATATACGCCATTACCTTTGATTCTAATAAGAAATGCAGACTGTTGGATGTGCACTTTTTATCGTAGGTATGAATACTAAATTGAGCATGTGAGTGCGTTAACATACACCATTATTTTCAGTAATTATAAATAATTTTGCGCGAACGCGTGCGTATGCACACTACGCTACTACGCAATCCCATATTAAAATCGGAAGTAACAGTGCGCAATGACGAGCTCTCGCACGCAGAGTATTGTCCAACAGCAAGATAAACACTGCAACCTCAACAACATGCATACATAGGCACTCTTACGCGCTTTCGCGCGCAATTCTACATTAAAATCGAAAGTAATAATGCACATGGACGAGCTCTCGTGCGCAATTTGTTGTTCAACAGCAATATAAACACTGCACCCTCAACAATGTGCATACATTAGCGCTCTTGCGTGCTTCCGCGCGCAATTTTATATTAAAATAGAAAGTAATATAGTATAATGACGCGCTCTCACGCGCAATATGTTGTTTAATAACAAGATAATCACTGCAACCTCAATAATGTGCATACATAAGTGCTCTTGCGCGCTTTCGCGCGCAATTCCATGTTAGAATCCAAAGTTATAATGCACAATGAGGCGCAATTTGTTATCCAACAGTAAGATAAGCACTACACTTTCAACAATGTGGACATAAGTGGCAATTCCATTTTAAAACACCATTATATTCAGTAATTATAAAAAATTTGTTCAAAATCGTTGTTAACAAGATTAATCGAGGGTTAACTTGACGTTAATCAAGAACTCTCTTATTTAATTTAAAGTTAATATGACTCTTGATTAAAGTCATGTTTAAATCCGAATTTTAAATTTTGTGTTCTAACTCAACATCTAAAACATTTATAAATATTATAAGCTAAGTTAATCGAGGTTTAACACGCCGTTAATCGAGCAGTTTAATTTTTTAATTAGAAATAACAAAAGTAAGTGTATTAAAATGTTTTTTAGTCATCTTCAAGATGAAGAAAATCAAATTTATCTCATAAAGGAAATGTAACAATTTTAGGATGTTATTCTGGTTACGAAATCGGCCCTTAAGCGATAAATTCTTGGCTAAAAAAAATTTTTGTTTCCCACATGTCACGAACTTTCTTTAACTGAAGTTGCGACACAATCCCTTCACTTTCCTCGCGTTCCTCTTTCCCCATTGTCCGAAAAGGAGGGCCGTATTTATTGCGCCCATATACGAGCCGAGATATTTACGATTCAACTTCTTCTTAATATCCTTGTTTATGTCCCAAAAAAAGTAAAAAAAAAAATAACAACTACCGAATTCTTAAATTTTACTTAAATAGTTATTTTTTCCCTTTCACAAGATTTTTTTGGCCTTCATCTATTTCTTCTTGTAACGTTAATTTCTTTTTAAAACTAAATAAAGTGAACAATTCGAAAAGGTGTGAACCCCTATCCGTCCAAGAAGGTGTTGTAATGGTGTGTCGTGTTGATTTTTAACATAGATAATGGCAAAGCTCCGCTTTTCGTGTCTCCGCAGGTCTAGATGCAAATTCTTCGAGGTAAAAGTGGTCGCCATTCCGGCCCACGATTCTCCTCCATATACATTACTACGGAGAGCATGTGTCCTGTTGTATCTTTATGGCTACTACACGTCGTCGGCGCGAGAAATCCAAGCAAGATTTTATTCGCGTCACCGGAGATGTAAATAAATTAATTTTGAAATCTCAATTTAATAACGTGGAAGTGAGCAGGCGCGTCGTAATTAAACCGAATTAACCTACATTTTAGGTTGCGATGTCAGGTTTTGATGTGCCTCAGTTATTTTCGTGTCTCTCTCTTTTTTGCCTTATTAACCCGACGAACTTTTTACCGCCCGCTTTCACTTCGAATTAAGCGAAATTAAATTGTATATAAAAATTAAATTTACAAATTAAAATTAACGATAGTAACAAACACTCTTTGAATTACTTTTTTTCTTCTTACTCTTGATTCTTTTTTAATATTTAAACGATAAATCTGTTCCTCAACGAAGTAATAAAATTAGATGATTCTTCCTTTTAAAAAGTATTGTTCTAGCAAATTTGCTAAAACAAACCTAAACCTTAATAAACGATCGTAACTAAATAAAATATCCTATTAGTTTTTCTTACGTTTATCGTTATTATCGTTTAAGAAGCACCTGCCAACGAATTTTAGTTGCACCGTAAATATAATTTTTTTGAAAAGGCGACACCGAGAACTAACATTGTTTTTTTTTTGTTCGTTTAAGTAAACTTTAAGTCTAAGCCACAATTTTTTTTACTGTCGTAGTTTATTTTATCGCTTCTTAAAAAAAAAGATGCGTTTCCGGTCCGTTTCTATTCTAATGTGTTCCTATTGTAGACCCGTTTAATCGTAAGTGCAATTTTCCTTATTTTTGTAGTTACCTACTACCTTTTTTTTAATTTTTGTTTTCCTTGAGAAAAAAAATTTTCGTTAATCTTTTAATTATTTTTTTTTGAATAGTCAAACGATAGTTACCAATTGATGAAAAAATAATTTAGCGGAAGTCAACGGCTTCGTTAAAATTTTTTTGTGTGTGTAAATACGCCATCGTTATTGTAAAAAATTCAATTAATGTATAAAACTGTACAAGATCACCTTAAAAACTTTGTGTTTTTTTTGTATAATTATGTAATTTGTATATTTTTCATTAAGACTACATGTATATTTGTCTCCGTCGTGTTTTAAATAAATAATAAATTGATTATTTTCACGAATTTTGTACTTTGAAAACCTTTTCTTTTTACAACATACAGGCTGGCATACAATGTGCTCAACAATGTGCATACATAAGCGCTCTTGCGCTCTATTCCATCTTAAGATCCTAAGTAATAGTCCATAATTACGAACTCTTAAGCGCAATTTCATGTCCAGCAGCAAGATAAACACTAAAACCTCAATAATGTGCATACATAAGCGCTCTTGCGCGCTATTCCATGTTAAGATCCTAAGTAATAGTCCACAATTACGTGCTCTCGAGCGCAATTTCTTGTCCAACAGCAAGATAAACACTAAAATCTCAAGAATGTGCATACATAACCGCTCTTGCACGCACTTCCATATTAAAATCGAAAGTAATATTGCACACTAACACGCCCTCACGCGCAATTTGTTGTTCAATAACAATATAATCATTGCATACTCAACTATGTGCATACAAAAGCGCTATTGCGCGATTCCTTACTTCATTCAAACGTAATGGATAAAAAGTGAAGTATGTTTTCGGTCCAATCGATCTTTTAATACAAAAATCGTACTCTGCGTAAATACTAAAACAGAACTGGTAATCCAACTCTATCCTTAGAGAACCGTAACTAACTGAACGTGCTTGATTTGCAATCTACGCTTGAGCGCATGTTCGATTATAATAAAATTGTAAGCCCGACAAGGATTGTGGATTGCGGAAGAGGATACCTAAGACATTCGGGTGCGGGTAACTCGAAAATATAATATATAATACAAAGATATCTAAATTAGTCGTAATCAAAGCCTGAAAAAGAGTAGTAAATAGAAGCGCGCCATAACGAGAGAGCGTCTAAAACCGAAGTTGTTGTGTCACTAAATCAGTAGAATGGGCTATAAAAATTCCCGTGGACGCCGTAAAACCATCGATTATGCAAATGCACGGACCCGAAGTGTCAGCGTTCTTCTGTTGGTCGCCGGTCTGTATGAGTCCCGCGAGTAAGACACCTGTTTGAGTGCTTCACAAACGATTGTTTCGAGACACACCTGCGTGTCTATCGATGTTCTATGTGGAATAAACGACAAATTGCGTTTTATACACTTTTTTATAAATGTGCTTATAATAATTTAAATTGAAGCATTAAACTAAGGGGATTTAAATTTTTACATAACTTCGCCATAGCACGATGATTACATAATAGAGCGTCTAGGGAACGCGAAGTTGAAGCTGATAAAGCGAACTTCGTTAAGAGGAGCCTCCAGGAGCAAACGATAAGTTACTTCGTTCCTGGCGGCCTCCTCGTTATTTATCGGCGAACGTTTCGTACCCGGTTTCGTTGTAATTTACTGCGAAGTACATCCTACAATGATGCATCGACAATCTTCGGGCAGCTATATGAAAGAGGATAAGGAGTGGACAATTTTTTTTTCTAATTACGTTTTTTATATTAAAACCATACAGCAAATTTACTCGTAACAAAGACGGTTCAGTTCGCCTATATACAGATGTAAACTTTGGTATTATGCCCATAAACAATAAGTAGCCGGGCGAGATGATCAATAGATAGCGCTACGAAGCCACGTGTTGCGATGATTTCGCAACTGGCGCGCCACAAGTCGTAGTTGGTTCGGTACGTGCATACAAAGGAACCGACAAACGTGGCATTTCAAATCTTAAAACGTATAGATAGACGACTACAGCGACCCTCAAA